TTTTTTATATATAGCTTCTTAAGGTACTTATAATGTAGAATAATGAAAAAAAATTCTCAAACTCAAATTTTGTGAACCAGGGGGGTGTGTCTCTTCCAACAAAGTAAAAATGGTTCGCGCACAAAATTTAAAAGTTGTAATCATATTTTGAGTTAATAGATGGAAACTTGGTTGGGTTTTTAATTACTGTACAAAATTTCAGACAATTTGGTTTATTCATTTTATTCTAAAAAATCAGCCTTTCGCATGCTTAATTAATGCCTTTATCTAATTTGCATATTGCTAACATATGCAAATTAGGCAAAGGCATTAATTAAGCATGCAAATAGCTGATTTTTAGGAAAAATTAACTTTGCGTGAATATTTAAAGGGCTTAAACTAAACCAAATTGTCTGAAATGTTGTACAGTAATTAAAAACCCGACAAATCTTCCATCTATTAACTCAAAATATGATTACAATCTATAAATTTTGTGCGCGAGTCATTTTTAGTTTGTTGGAAAAGACCCCCCCCCCTGGTTCACAAAATTTGAGTTCAAGAATTTTTTTTCATTATTCTACATTATAAGTACCCAAAGAAGCTATATATATATAAAACCGGATACAAATAGGTGATTTGCGAAATTGAGACCAATTTCAAATCTGTTCAGTTTTTTTTATACACCCTATAAACGATATTTTTCGATTTCCGCACTTTGTGTTGATACCTTGAATCTATTGTTGTGTAAATTTCATTACCTTTTATGGCAGTATAATGCAGCTAATAACCAATTACTCAATTTCAACCAATGGGAACCCTGCGTCGTTCTAAGCAACGTACAGACGCGTTTTTATTAGCTAGGCCTGCAGGCTTTCTCTCAAATTTCAAAGAGAGTTCAAAGAGAGCCTGTTCGCAGGCTAGCCAAATAGTCGAGTGGTATGTCACCGCCACGGCCAGAAGAGGCGATATATTGCATTCTTGTACGCACATTGAGGGGACCCATGAGCGCGTGTGACTTAGCCAATCTTATCAACAATGAGTTTATATCCCCAATGAGAGACTTTCCACCTTTCTCACCAGATCTACTACCACAACTGGACTCTACCACAACCCCTCCTGTCACTATTTTTTCCCATTCTGTTTACGTGAAATTATCATTGCTGAATCCTAACAAATCTCAAGGCACAAATGGTATCCCTTTGTGGTTACTAAAACAGAATTCAGATCTACTGGCAAAACCAATCACAGATATTAGTAACTGCTCCCTTCAGGAGGGCAAGTTACCAACATCATAGAAACTGCAAACGTAATCACTGTTCCGAAAGAAAAGCCAATAAAGGATGATAGCAAATACTTGCGTCCACTTTCCCTCACACCAATCCTTTCAAAGGTCGCAGAAGAGTTTGTTATAGAGAATTATGTAAAATCGGCTATACTAAAGAAAATAAAAATTAAATCAAGTTGGATCTGTCCCAAAGTCCTCTACGACAGAAGCATAATAAAGCTACGGACGGAAACGGCTCCACGATTAGAGGTCATGATCTTTGACTTTAGGAAAGCAATCGACTTAATAGACCATACCATCTTATTCCGAAAGCTCTCAAGTCTGGATCTCCCTCGAAAGATTATTTGTTGGATCATCGACTTTCTAACGTGCCGCAAACAGGGAGTAAAGCTAGCGGAGGATCGTATGTCGGAATGGAAAAACGTCCCAGCTGGTGTCAGGGGACCAAGCTGGCCAGAACCATGGCTATTTATACTGATGATCGATGACATAGACGTTCATAACAGGGATTTATGGAAATACGTGGACGACACCACTATGTCAGAGGTTGTACCCTGGTTGTGCACAAGGGAAAGACAAGTAAGATCCAAGAATGTGTAGACGAAATCATGGAGAAAGCTAGCCAAAATAAATTCCAGCTTAACAAAACCAAATGTAAAAAAGTTCAAATCTCCCTCGCAATTAGGTGCAACCCTGAGTTCCCGTCGATTCCAGTCAATAACAACCCAATTGATGTTGTTGTTATATATTCAAGCGTTAAACTGCTGGGCCTAAATATATCAAACAATCTGAAGTGGAACTATCATCTTTCGGAAATTGTTAGAAAGGCATCTACACTACCATTTCCTTTTGACTCAGCTAAAAAGAGCCAGAATTGATGAGAAAGATCTCCTAACATTCTACACCACATGCATTCGGCCAATTATCGAGTACGCTAGTCCTGTTTTTCACGATGCACTCCCTAACTACCTTTCCGACGATCTAGAAAGGTTGCAGAAGCGAGCCCTGCGAATAATTTCCCCATCCACCGCCTGTGCTGAAGCATTGGAAGTCTGTGGCTTATCTTCATTGCATGATCGCAGTGAATATCTAACAACTAAACTGTTTCATGAAATTTGCCGTGATTCTAACCACAAACTACAACATCTTCTTCCTGATCTTAATGAATCTACTTTGAATCTTAATGGTGGCATGGAGTTACACGAGCAACAAAATTGCTGCAACTTGCAACAAAATCTGATTTCAACGCATGTTAATTGAAAAAGTTTACACATAAATTACAAATCACAAGGCAACATTTGTCGACATTTCTACTTAACATGCGTTGAAATCAGATTTTGTTGCAAGTTGCAGCAATTTTGTTGCTCGTGTAAGTCCAGCTTTAGAAATAAACGTAAATTTTGTGTTCCAATTTGTTTTCAATTTGTAAAACAAATTGATTGAAGAATAGTTCCATATATATTAACTCAAATATACAGACCTTTTAGGAAAGTTTTAACAATTTAATTCACATGCACTATTGCAGAATTTTAACAACATACTTTATGTAAAGTTTTTAAACAATTCAGCTTTTGGTTGTAATTTTCTAAACTTATTAAAAATCTATCTACCTATCTACAGTGTCCAATCAACTGAGAGCAATATACATGAATTCCCAGAGTCTCGAAGCATTAGTACATGATAACAAAGTTGCAGGAAAGAAGATAAGACCCCCGTTTACACGACAGTCATTTTGGGCACGGCACGCTTAAATTTTGGCACGCGGACTCATCTTTTTGGGCACGGCACTCTTTTTGTCGTGTAAACGCAAAATTAGAGGTCCGCGTACCCAAAATTTTAGGCGGGCCGAGACCTCCTCAGGAGGTAGTCTCGGCCCGCCTAAAAATGGGTCCGCGGACTGAAAACTTGTTACGCACGCGTTTTGTTTCTCACATTGCAAAAATATTGTGTCTGTACAAACAAAATATCGAGAGAAAATGTGATCAGATGATGCTATACAAGAGCTCCGATATATATTATGGTCATGCATAAAGAAACTATTGACTGGTATTCTTGCTACACTCAAGTCAAAGCCCACAGCAAAGCGAAGAGAAAAGGAACTGTATTTAAGCAGTTTAAATCAATGCATATATGTGATGGTGAAGATTATTGTTATTTCATAATTAACAATCATTCGCCGAGAGCGAAGTGCTATCGGTGAACATTCACTATAATCATGCAGTGAGCCTGCGGCGAATCATTGTTGTAGTATAAATTTTCAACGAAATAAAACAGAATACCTAAATATCAGTTTAAATTAAACTGTTGTCACTACTTGTCAGCCAGTTTATATGAGGTTACTGCATGTTTTAGTTAGCTAGTGTTGCAGGCGCAGTGTTTTTTTGTTCGCACTCACTTTCAAAATGGCATCCTTATAATATGACTTTATTACAAAGTTATATTTATCCCCATGAAGGTCAATGAAATATCTAGCTTAGAAAATAAAACACTTTGATATAATGATATAATGAGTATATAAACTTTTTAGTTGAAAAAGCACATAAAACACTTTGATATAATGATATAATGAGTTTATAAACTTTTTAGTTGAAAAAGCACATGCATGCATGGAAATACACAAACTTTGTATTTTTTACGAAAATGTTAATAATTATCTGGTCTAATCAGAGAAATGGAAATACTTCAATACAAATTAATTAAACTATCTCAATAAAAATATAATTTCTGTTTATTTTAATCGGGAGAAAATGAAATGAAATGTAAATTTAATGCTCGGAATAAAGTTTAATACACCTTTCGCTAGACCAAAAAGTTACGGCCGAATACATCAGATATTTCATGTCAAGTCAAGGTTTTGACTTTGAATGTAAGAGTTCCGTTCTCAGTTTAGGCGTGCCGAACCCAAAATTTTTAGAACAAAAATTTTGTCGCGTAAACGCAACATGCGGACCAAAAACCGTGGGTCCGCGTGCAAAATTTCAAGCGTGCCGTACCCAAAATGACTGTCGTGTAAACGGGGCTAAGTAAACTTTCCTTCAATTCCAAAATTTGATCTACACAGAGCAGTATGACGTAGTATGTGTTTGTGAAACCTGGCTGAGTTTCTACCAGTTTACACTATTTACGGGAAAGACCGCTGTGATAATAGGAGAGGTGGCGGAGTTCTTGTTGCCATTAATACAATAACAAGCCTCCGATCCAGAAGCAATTATTTTGTCTAGAAGGTCAAAATGCTGAATATATCGTGATGGAACTATTTCGTTTAGACTGTTCTGAATTCGCTTCTGGAATTAAGATCTAGTCTCGATAAACTGGAAGAATCTGGCAGACGTTTCTTGGTGGGCGATTTTAACTTACCTGAAGAGAATAATTTTAATTATTGTTATTAAAACAACCTAAATGAGCTCTTCTGTGAAAATTATTAATGATCACTTTCTCAGTGAAATGGCTGATGGTCTCGCCCACATTAATGGAAATAAGCTCGACTGCATCATCTCTAGTCACACTAACGTCATAACGAATTTGTCATGTACCTCACCAGACGGAGTATTCCCAACCGATCAATACTTGATTGACTTTGAAATTAGACGCAGTTTCCAAAGAGCTAATTAAGTCAGTCAAATGAATTATTTATGATTACAAAAACGTTAATTTTGATGATCTTCGTGCTCATATTGGGGGAGTGCTCTTTGATCTAGCAATATCAGAGACGTCAAATATCAACGACTGTTGGAAAATGTGGAGAGATTTGTTTCTAACGGCTGTGGAAGAATTTGTGCAGATAACTGTCTCGGACAAGAATACACCACCATGGATTGATCATGAAGTGAAACACCTTATAAGAAAAGAATATACGGCCCTACGTCATTGTGAGGACCCTACTCAGCAAAGAAAAGCAATTATACGACCTTTATCTCAAAACGTTAAAGACATGATAAAACAGAAACATGAAGAATACATGGAAAAATTAAATCCTCCTTTACTGATAATCCAAAATTCTTTTGGTCATATCATAAGGCGATTCATCATAATAAACAATGCTCAAATGTTTTGACTGATGGGTATTCTATTGCTTTTTCTGCTAAGAATAAAGCCGAAATGTTTAATTCCTATTTTGGCTCGATATTTCAACCAAAATCTGATGAGAACAATCTCCAAGATGATATCACGTTCGTAACAAACTAAAAAATATTGGAGGTCATCATCGGCGTTCAAGATCTTTGTAATTGTTTACAAAACCTCAATGTGAGGAATTATTAAAGCTTCAGTTTGTGTTATCTGTCTCAGCCTTTACCTTCGGAGGATAACACAAACCTCGGCCTTAATAATTCCTCATATCCTACTCGACCTCATTCAGTAATTTTTTATTATACGCGAAATGTGAGGCGATATTTAACAATGCAATGTTTTTTATTCACTCCAAAATTACAGTGATTTAGTAGCAATTAGCAAATTACAAATTAACATGAACATGACAGGTTAACATAACATAACGTAATGTCTTTTATAAAACCGCTGGCCCAACCGTGGGCTCTTCTCTTTTGAACAAAATGACCATACACCAACAACTAAGGGTGGGCTAAAGGGTTGGATTGCATTGTTAAATATAGCCCTTAATATTACACTTCAGGCTGCAAGCAGCCCTTGTATAATCTACATTTATACTTCCAAACTATTCGGCTCAATTTAACAATGCATGTTAATTTAAAGCTTTATTGTGTGCCACTAGACAGAACTGCTCTCCCTGTGGTATTATTAAATTGTGGACGATAATAGAACTTAATGAGAAGAGTTCTGTTGGGGCCAGTTTGCAAACAGCAAAATCTCGAAAAGTCCTATCTTGCTGTTTCCGTAGTAACAACCCCACAAACAGAATGCCCTTTGCCCCACCTTGTGACAGTTGCTGAGGATAATGGTTTGTGAGGATTTATATATGAAAATAGTAGCCACACAGCTAGCTGAAGTCGATGAAGAGGGCTTGACGAAGGCTCTTGTCCCTACGGGTCAACAGATCTTTCTGAGAGGGTTGTAAGTGAGGAAAATCGATGCAAAGGTTTGGCAAAAAGGGACACCAAGTTTGGGTTGGCCAAACCTCTCCAACTCACGTAATGGTCTAGTTGAAATGTTACCATTTCTGGTACAGATGATTGAAAATGATTGGATTCTCGATCCGCCTGTACATTTTATATCCCTGGAATATATAGTGCTGTTACTAGTACATTGTGACCCAGAGATCAGTCCCATAGGTTCGTATCTAGCGGAGACAGAGGCGAGAGTGAGTGCCTCCCATCTTCAGGGCCGGAGCTAAAGGTGTGTATGTGGGTGGGGGGGGGGTGTAACAGCCCCCCAGTCATCAGGTAGTCGGCAAAATATTGAATCCCAGTCGGCAAAACGTGGATTTGGACAGGAGGAAAAAATATGTATCTGAGTGAACCCAGATTAAAAATTAAGAATGACAGCTAAAATGTGGAGAAATTGATGAAAATATTAGGGGAAAATTGAACGCAGAACGATGGTTAAACACATAAGAAGACCGAGAAATATGTTGTCGGGAAAACAATTTTTTGGTGTTGTGCCGCTCCCCCCCCCCGCTATAACCAGGGGCCATGTTATGCATAGTTTTAAACGTTATAAGCGAGATCTTAAAATGCAATTTCTCTAAAATAATAATAATAATAATTATACTGGGTTTGATGAGATGAAAGCGTTGTATCAATCTCTCAATCTGAGGCTTGGAGAGGTATTTTTGAACTCGACCAATATTCCTTACTGCTAATGATGATGCACGACACATATTGTTTATATGAGGACGAAAGGTTAATTTAATTTTGAGTTGAAAGTAACACGAAGATCACGAACTTTGTCCGTAACTTTTATGACATTTGAGCGAATGGTAATGATATAATTTTCAATGTTATGTACTATTTAAAACACGAGAAGGAGTGTTTGATCATATTTAAAACGCAAGGCGCAGCCGAGCGTTTTAGATATGATAAAACACGAGTTCGAATGTTTTGAATAGCTAGTAAAATACGACTACAAAAGAATACTAATTGGGATGAACAATTATATAATCATACTAATTAGGATGAAGAATTATATAAAGAATACTAATGAAGATGAGTTTTATCCACTGATCTGAAATAGGACTGGATAACGCATCTATAGTATACAAAAGTGAAGCCGGAAGTCACCGGCCGCCACCCGATTCTGGGGCCCCACTTTTGTATAGATTTGTATTACAAATGGTAGCTTTTCGCGTTTTTTGCCTTGGCTACGTTTCCGATCGGGTCAGTTTTACAATCACAAAGATAGAAGCATACAAGAAGAATTTTGAGGAAAAAATTTGGAGTATTATGGCTTTATAACGCCGCGAAACGGGATTTACAACTTTGAAGGAGTGGAGAGCCTCAGACTTTGTTTATCAACACGTGCTCGTTTTGCTACTTTCATACAAAATCAACTCAAAATATACAAGAGTTACTGTTACTGGACGAATATTCTCAGGAAATTTGAAGAAATGAAACAGCTACATTGTGAACAAAAGCGTACTGAGGTTAGTTTTAAAATACCTTGAGGTTACTTTTATAATTATATGAATTTAATATTATAAAGGAACAATTTTAAATGTAAATTTTGCTTGTCGAGAAGTTTTATATGTTTTAAAGTACAAAGACAAGTAACAATCAAATATATTTTAATCCAAGTTAACAATGACTCAATACAATGTTATTGATGGGTTGTTATTGATGGGTTGTTATTGATGGGTTAAGAGAACAGGTTTGTTTAATTTCTTTCTTATAATAATTCCATATGCGTCATATATAATTACCTATGTAACTTCTTTGTGCTTTACTGTAATAAAATAACATCTCACAATACATTTAACCAGGTTGTGAATGTAAGGTGAACCACATTCGCAACCTGGTCAAATGTATTGTGAGATGTTTATATTGTAAAGTCAGGCTATATCATCTTGGCAAGGAAGCTACACAAGATGCCTGTGGAAACATTTAATATAAGGGAGAAATTAAACAAACTTGTTCTCTTTAACCATCGATAATACTAATAATAAAATATTTGATTTCCTACTTTAAAACATATCAAACTTCTCGACAAGTCAAAATTGACATTTAAAATTGTTCCTTAATTCATATCATTATAAAAATAGCCTCAAGGTGTTTTAAAACTAACCTCAGTACGCTTTTGTTCACAATGTAGCGCTAGCTGTTTCATTTCTTCAAATTTCCTGGACGTTCCATCATTAATAACAAACTGGATAAGAAGTTTTCTTACTCGATGAAGCCAACGGGTCAGAATGCCCCATTGTGTGTCAGAATGGCAAATCCTCAACGGTGGAGTACCCCAGGGAACTGTTTTAGGCCCAATCCTCTTCCTAATCGTGATAAACGATCTCCTCGTCGATTGGAAAGACCGATGGAAATACGTTGACGACACCACCACTACTGAAACCATTGGCCCAGATTGTAACAGCAACCTTCAAGAACTGGTTAATTACATCGATAATTGGACTACGAGTAATAATATGAAACTAAACATTGGAAAATGCAAAGAACTGGTTATTGATTTTCCCCTTTAACACTCGATAAAGTTAATATTGAACGGGTGAAATCTGCCCGTATCCTTGGCCTCACAGTTCAAGATAACATGAAGCGGAATGAACATATAAACAACATAGTTAAAAAAGCTAGCAAGAGGCTCTATATGCTAAGGCTGCTAAAACGGTCCAACACGTGTATTGACACGTTGATTACTGTATATACTACCATTATTAGACCTGTTTTGGAGTACGCGTGCCAGGTCTGGCATTACAATATCCAACAATATTTATGTGAAGATATTGAAAAAATACAAAAACGTGCGTTGAGAATCATCCTTCCATCGCAAAAGTATGACTAAGCGCTGATCACGACTAACATCACGTCGCTGAGAGATCGCCGAGAAAAATTATGCGAACATTTCTTTGAGAAGAATATTGACAATGAAAATCTCAAAGATCTTTTATCACAAACAATTTTATCTGGATATGATCTAAGACCGATATGTAAATATCATAATTATGTTTGTAGAACTGAACGTTTTAAGAATTCGTTTTTACCTCAAAGTATATTAAAGATTAACAGTAAATAAGTTCTTAGAAATGTAAATAATCTTAAATATGTAATTATTATGTAATTTTAACTTCTCTTAATTTATATAATACTGGTATAATTTAGCCTTTTTGGGTTACAAAGTCAGTAATCATTAAATCAATTCAATTCAATTCAATTCAATATTCGTCCAGTAACAGTATACAAAGTCTGAGGCTCTCCACTCCTTCAAAGTTATAAATCCCGTTTCGCGGCGTTATAAAGCCATAATACTCCAAATTTTTTGCTCAAAATTCTTCTTGTATGCTTCTATCTTTGTGATTGTAAAACTGGCCCGATCAGAAACGTAGCCAAGGAAAGAAACGCGAAAAACTACCATCTGTAATACAAATCTATACAAAAGTGGGGCCCCAGAATCGGGTGGCGGCGGGTGACTTCCGGCTTCACTTTTGTATACTATAGATGCGTTATCCAGTCCTATTTCAGATCAGTGGTTTTATCAGATATAAAGTCACTCCACGTAACATATTATGGCTGACATGATTTGCCACAAGGTTTACGAATTTTTAATGAATATTTTAAATAATTATCTGCGTCGGTGGGTGCATCCTTTGCTATTCTGTTTCTTATACATACGTTCATTTTGAGGTATTATAGGTTTATATTCCCAACCCAGATCAGAAAGGTTTGGTTTTCACGCTAAACCAACGACCGGAGTCGGTAGAGAGAAAACGAAAAGATATTAAAAGTTATGGTATTTATCACCGCCTGGTTCAATCACGGCAAAAATCCATTGGCGGCAACAATTTGCCGTAATAATCGATGTAGAACCAATGGGTCGCCCGCCGAAGCCATCGTTTGATCCCCCCAACAGATATAGAGTTATAAAGCAAGGCAAAAGTGTTGATGTTGTAAAATTCAACAGAAAGAACAACAGAGGCACTGTCTATGGCTACGTTGTGTTCCCTCTTTTCCACCCTTTGGTGTGTCCACACTTGACTACTGTAAGCTAGTTGGCTTCGAACGATAGTCAAGTACAGTATCTTTCGAACACTTTTATCGTGAATGCCGGACGTTGTTCTCTTGACAAAACCGGCCCAGCATTTTGTTAGCTTTTGAGGATATGTCCTGCACGTTCTGGTTCCACTTCAGATCTTTGGTGATACTTATGCCACGATCTTTTTCACAGGTTAAAGGTTTGACTGGGATGTCAACTAATGTGTACTGGTTGATGGTAGGTTGGAGACAACGAGTAAATTGACGTACTCCGCACTTGGATTTATTTAAATCCGTCCTCCAGTCTTGACACCAGTTGGTAATATTGTTAAGATCTGATTGTAGGACTTCTTTGTCTTGAAGATTACGAACAGCGCGATGACATTTAGTATCATCAGCAAACATTGACACGGCAGTACTGTAATGTTATCTGATTTATTTAAAATCTTGTACCGGTATTTATACACAAATACGTATGCTAATTATTACATTAATATTCATTCTAATTGACTAGTACCACATCTCCTAGATAAGTTTAAACTATTCTTGATCTCGAAGCCCCACTCACTTGCAAAGAGTACATACTCAGCACTGTTGAACGGAGGACCATTGTCTGATGTTTCTAAATCCGCCATAGAGTCATAAACTTGATAAAATATGAGTTTTAAACCATGTATTTTACACGTCTAATGAACGTCTGCATATATACATATCCAATGTCACATACTTTTATAATAACAACATGACACGTCAATCACCCTAAGATGACTTCCGTCGGAATATTAAATCGGTCGATAATATTAACAACTATCGTAACATCTTCCCTTCTTTAACAAACACACCCTAAGTCAAGATTGTTCTGGCCTCAACTAAACTCTTGTTCGTGGCCCTTGACGGGATAACATAACAATGAGTCAAATATTAATAAATGTTCAGTATTTTAGTTCAGTAGTCTGATTAATCAGTTTTAATAGTTACTGATCTGTGAGTTCGCCAAATCTTACTGGTCTTTTCGATACGTGCCCGCTGCGCGTCCGGTATTCCTGGTCTCCGGTAATTCGCGTTCGGCTGGAGGTACGTTGTGTTTCATCTCTCTCTTGTTGCGTCCCTTCCGGTTCGTTATTTTCTTCTCGACCATAATCTGGCATTGGTAGGTATGCCTCTTCTTCGACTTCCAACTCCTGGGCTGGTGTGCATTTGCGTAGATACGATGCTTACGATTTCTAATATATATTCTGTCGTTTGCTTCAACTTCGTATGATCGGGGTCGAACTTCCCTAATGACTTTCACATCACTCCACTTCTTTTTCCCTAGTCCAAATGGCTGGAATTTAAATCTGTCGCCTTCGTGCAATTGCGCGAGTGTTTTTGCTCCTCTGTTGTAATAATGTTGTTGTTTCGCTTGTTTCTTGGCTATGTTTGTACCATTGTTTCCTGTCAGGCGGGGTTTGAGAAGGTTTTTCGAGGTAGGAAGGGTTGTCCTCGTACGTCGATTCATCATTCGTTGGGCGGGACTAGACTGAATTATGTCCTTCCTGCGGCGTGTTTCGAATGTCGAGAAGAGCCAGATAATAATCGGTGCCACTTTCTCTAGTCATTTGCAGGATCTTTTTGGCTTGCTTTACCGCCGATTCTGCCTTACTGTTCGACTGAGGATGGTGTGGGCTAGTGCGAGTATGCTTGAAACCAAAGGATTTGGCAAACGCTTGAAATTCATCTGAATCGTATTGTGGCCCGTTGCCTGATACTACTTCATCAGGTATTCCGTACCGCGCAAAGTGACCTTTCAACTTCTTTATAGCTGTATTAGAAGTCGTGGTGCTGAGATAGTCTATTTAAAAAAAGTTTGAAAAATAGTCTACCGTCACCAGGTAATACTTGTTTTGGAATTGGAAAAGGTCGGTACCGATTTTTGCCCAGGGACGGTTTGGTACTTCGTGGCTTGAAAGCGGCTCTTTCGACTGTCTAGTGGAAAATGTGGTGCATGTCTCGCATCTGGAAATGTATTCTTTTATCTCTCTCGTGCTCTTCGTAATGTTGATTCCACTCCTTGATGCGCGGTATGTAGATCCTCCAGAATTTCCTTTCTTAACCCTATTTGTACCGGGGGTGTGCACAATGAGCGCACCCCTATAAATATTTATCCGTCATTCCTGAACAAATGATCCCATTTTCCTGTGCTTTCATGAATTTTAATATTTTTCCTCTGCCGTCATGACTGCGAAAATTTTTTTCTGAAAATTCAAAGTTATCCGGACGTTTGTCGACATTTGTCAAACAAGGTGTCGAAGCCAAAAATGGGAAAATGTGGGTTGGATAGTATTTTTTGGCTGTATCACTTCCCAGGACATAAATAACATAATATAATTAGAGAACATAAAGATGGATTATTACACATGATTTGCAAAGTAAACTGAATATCCATAATATATTATATAAAATAGTAAAATATAGTACAACATATAATATAGCATACAATATAATACTTATATAATATAATATAAAATACTTATTTATAATATTTTTATATATACAAATACACATATTTCTTTGTACCTTGAAGGCATAACATCTCCCTGTCTTTGAGCAGCACCAAACATGTAGGATGCATTATATATTGAACACTTTCATACAAGAAATTTTCAAATTAGAGTAAAATATTTTGCATAAAATCCAGACTGATTGCCATGATTTTCAAAGTGAATATTGTGTTTTCAAAACTATACTGCAGGCTCGTAGCTCACCTGCCTTACACTTCATGTAACACATAGTATATTGGTATAAAACATGGTTGCCATTTTGTATTTTTTCTACAAACTTTTGTTGGTTGACTTCAGTGTAATGTTTTATGTTTATACTAAAGAAGTTATGCCAACAAAAAGTGCTAGAGTTTCAACAGAATGCACAATTGCGAAAATTATGCGATATATGGAACATTATTACAACAATGACACTGTCACAGTGATATGAAGTAATACAATCAGTGATATTGAAACTTGAAAATGATTTGGATTGTTTATATGAGAGACAGATAAGTTTCATTTGTATGTCTTTTCATATGGTACAGAAATGCCAACTTGGAAAGTAAAATAGTGGTGTTTATGGACATCTCAGGATATGCTATAACATAAAAGTATGTCTTTTGACTGTAAAAGACCCAAAAAATATCACATCCTGATGTTTTATTATCTCTTTACAAAATATAACCAAAATGGGTAAAATATTAGCTATATATATTCGCCATTTTTTTATAGGCGGTCATATTCAATGGGGGGGATCCAAAAAACAGCATGTTGGATGTGAATTTAACTTTTTTGTTATTTTTAGGTTAAAAAGATAAAATTTACTAAAAATAAAACTTATAGGATAATGGCAGTTAATCGACAGAGTTTCTGAGGGGTGTGCCCTATCAGCGCACCCCCGGTCATATCAACATGAAAAAACCTCGGTACAAATAGGGTTAAAGATTTTGGGATTACAACCCTCTCACCGCGTAGGACGACACTTTCTTGCGCAGTTAGGTCGTCTCGCACGTGAAAATAATTTACCAAAGTTGGATCTAGCACGTTCTTGTTCCCTGGCCATCCTGCCTGGATGACTCCTTTCACTTGCTGCAGGACTTCATCCTTCTCTGTTTCAACTTTCAATTTGGATATCTTCTCTTCCGTCGCTATGATCCGATTAATTATTGCGGTCAGTGGTACTTGATCAAATTCTTCTTCGAATGTGGATTTTGTTGGTTGACCCTTGATGAAATGACGGCTGAGAGTGTCGGCCAGGTCGATACTGTGTTGCTTTGTTGTGAGCTTGTCTCTGTCGTCGCCGGTTGTGCCGTTTCTTCGCTGTTTGTACCAATCTCTGTGTCCGACATATTTCTTAGTTTATTGATCCCACTCCTGACACCATGTTTCTAAATCCGCCATAGAGTCATAAACTTGATAAAATATGAGTTTTAAACCATGTATTTTACACGTCTAGATGAACGTCTGCATATATATCCAATGTCACATACTTTTACAATAACAACATGACACGTCAATCACCCTAAGATGACTTCCGTCGGAATATTAAATCGGTTAATAATATTAACAACTATCGTAACATCTGATACCACTCTTTCCGGTATTCCGAATCTAGCAAACACCGTTTATAACGCCTTGTACACTTCGGTTGCCGTCTTGCTCTTGTTAATTCATTGAACATAACTCTATGTACCTTGAGAAATAGTCTACTAGCTACCAACAAATATTCTCGATTCTCGCACTTGAAGAATTCTACTGCAACGATTTGCCAAGGGCGTTCAGGAAATGCTGTGGGAATCAATGGTTTGTTCACATGATATCTCGCACACGTCCGACAGTTCTTTATTAACTCTTGTATTTGCGTGCTGATTCCAGGCCACCATACGGACTGTTTAGCTCTTTCGCGACATTTGGTGATCCCCAAGTGTCCTTGATGTATCTTGTCTAAAAAATCTAATTTCATGCTTGACGGGATGAGTATTCTGCTTCCTTTTAATATCACGCCCTTAACGACTGAAGTCTCACCACGTTCACTCCAGTAAGATTTGAGTAGATCTGGAATGGACTGTCTTTCAGGCCAGCCTTCTTCACAGTACTGCATATCTTCTTACACACGTCATCATCAATTTGCACTTCACGAATTTCTCTTATTCGCATGTCGGAGGCAGGAATGCTTTGGCAGACACATTCTACGAACGAGTTCATCTCTGCCTCTGAAACAAACGAACTACCTTGCGAAACATTAGGGGCTCTAGCCGAGTCCGTTTAATTAGTCTCAACAAGGCGTCGCTGGTGTACATTTCATTTCCTGGAATATGGACTACTTTTCCTGGAATATGGACTATGGAATCTTGGGGGATGTCTCAAAAATGTACCATCAAGTTCTTGTTGATCCTGTTGTAGATGCACATTCCCATCCGTTCCTCTGGCGAAGTCTTGAAAACCATGAACCAGACATTTATGTTAAAACAGTTCTCACGTTTGGTGATAAGCCTGATCCACCCATGGCAAATACAGCAATGGATCTCACAGCTGAAGAGAATGCTGAAAATTACCCAGACGCAGCAACAACATCAAAGAGTGTCGATACATGGATGACATTGCCGACTCAGTTACCTCGATTGGTGAAGCTGTTAAACGTACGAATGAGATTGATCACGTTCTCAGTACAGGACACTTTAAGATCAAAGAATGGATTTCTAATGCAGATTTATCAGAAAGTCGTCCCGTGGACCACATTGCAGTGCACAAAGTACCAGTGAGATCGAAAAAAAAACACTCCTGAAGGAACCACTATATCAGAAGATGTCTGTGTCAGTAAACAACCCCAAAGTTCTTATGGCCTGTAAAGTTGATGGTGTTGAGTGGACAAGGCCAATTAAACTGACAAAGCGGATGGTGTTGAGCATAATCTCTGGGATATTCGATGTATTTGGATTTGCAGCCCCTTTGATTATTCGTGCCAAGATTGGTATTCAAGAGCTGTGGAAGGGAGGATATGAGTGGGATCAAGATCTACCCCAACAAGTGAAAGACAACTGGTACAAATGGTTTGACAACTTATCAAAGCTTAAAGATGTTACCTTTCAACGATGCTTGACCCCAGAAGATGTGTTGGGAAAGCCAATCCTAATAATTTTCAGTGATGCTTCAGAAAAGGCATTTGGAGCGGTGGCCTACATAAGGTGGAGATTGATGGATGGTTCCTTTGCAGTTAGGTTCATCATGGCAAAGTCGCGAGTCGCTCCAGTGAAGGAATTAACAATGCCAAAACTTGAACTGCAAGCAGCAGTAATAGCTTGCAGACTCAATCATACTATCCGAAGTGAATGCCGCTTGGAGTTTGAGAAGACAATATTTTTCTGTGATTCCATGATTGTTTTAGCTTGGATTCAAAATGAAACACGTTCCTTCAAAGTCTTTGTCTCCGTGCGAGTTGCCGAAATCAACGCTAAATCAGACCCAGCAGATTGGCGTTATTGTTCAACTGATTTAAATGTTGCAGACGATGTAACCCGAGGTTTGTGTGTCGAAAGTCTGTCCGATCGCTGGAAACACGGAGAAGTCTTTCTTCTTCAGCCAGAAGATCAGTGACCATCAATGCAACTAAGTCAGGACAATGATGCAAATGACATGCTTATCGAATGCCGTAAAGTCAATGTTGTTGTTAATTTACCAGCCTGCTGTCCCCTGATGCAGTTTACCAAGCGATTCTCCAAGTACAGGCGGGCAGTTCGGGTCCTGGCGGTAATCCGGAGGTTTATCCACAACTGCAAAGCAAGGAAAGTTGCAACTTATCAACGTCTGTCTGGCGCATTGACAGTCGCTGAATTGGAGGAAGCAGAAACGGTTCTAGTTAAAGATGCACAGTCAGCGATAAAACCCTTAATCCAGAAGAATGAATTCAGAAATCTGGCACCATTCATTGATGATGATGGTATCATCCGCGTCGGAGGCCGAATTGAGAACGCACCAGTTTCATATGAGACTCGACATCCACCCATTATTCCACGTTGTCACTGGCTATCTACCCTAATCGTAAGACAAGCACACCAGTAGGGACATCTCGGCGTAGCGGCAACCGCAGCAAAGACACGGAAAAGATTCTGGATCGTCGGCGTACACCACATTGCGAAGAGTGTGAAATTCAAGTGCGTCTTCTGTCGGCAGAGGGCACAGAAAAACGAAATACAAATGATGGCAAACCTCCCACCATATCGACTTGCACCATTCACACCACCGTTCTTTTATACAGCTGTCGACCTGTTTGGTCCTATCAAAGTCAAAGTTGGCCGAAACAAGACCGACAAATATTGGGGTGTCTTGTTTACATGTCTGAATGTCAGAGCTGTTTACATTGACGTTACAACGGATTACTCGACTCCTGGTATTTTACCCGTACTGAGAAGATTCTTCTGCATCCGGGGCTATCCACGCTGTCTGTGGAGTGACCGAGGAAGTCAACTAGATACAACAGAACTGAAAGATTTCCTACACGAGAAGGGTATGGAATGGAAATTTGTTACACCAACTGCCGCTCACCACGAAGGATGTGCAGAGTCGCTTATTCGAGTGATCAAAGCAGCGCTCAAGAAATCGATCGGAGACCACAGGGCCGTAGGAAGCTCTTTTCGATTGGGGGGGGGCTGAAAGCGAGGGCCGAAGGCCCGAGGAAATTTTTAAATTTAGAGTCTCTAAAATGCCATTTCCTGGACTTTGGGGGAAGATTT